GGTCAGGCCTAACATAACTTATATAACTATTTAATGGCACTGTGACTCTGGAACCAGGTCCTGCACTTCCAGGGCTCACCTGCAGGTGTCCGCAATTAAGCACCACCTGATGGTGATCTGGGATGGTATTTAATCGCTCCCTGCAGTGAGCCTGGTGCCACAGTATTGTCACCCTAACCTGTATCCTGAGTCCTGTATCCTGAGTCCTGTGACTTGTTGCCTTTACCTGTATCCTGGTTCCTGTTTCCAGTATCCTGTAGCCTCCTTGAACCCTATTGATCTGTGGCTCCCCTCTTGTTGCCCTGCTCCACAGGTTTGCTTGCCCTGTTGTCGTCTGTGTATGATTTTGCTGTTCGCTTCTAGTTTGGTTACTTTATGTTACTTGTGGGTGTTGGTGGGGTTGCTTGTGTTTTTATGATTTTGGTTGTGTTTAATAAACTATGAGTTTCTAAGCATTGTCTGGTGTGGTCACACATTTGGTCCTCCCGAATAGATACCTGCCTGCAGTGTGGGGACACCAGTGCACAGTATTGTGACACAGTAACTCTGTACTTAAGCTTTTGCACATGGTTTCATCATGTTGACCTTTTTGTTGACTAAATAATAAAATGCAAACTTTTATAATTGAGCTGTTTTGTGAGATCAGATTTATATAACTGCAGGACTTACTGAGAACTATATGTCTGTTATAGCTATGTGTTGATATGTAAAACCAAGAATGTTCAGCCATTATCACATCACTATATAGTTAATTATTTAAAAAATAACAAGGTAAGATGTTATGAGAATCTGAAATGTTTGGGATATACAGTACCGTATTTTTCCGTCTATAAGACGCCCCCATGTATAGGACGCCCCCCACTTTTCTTACCCAAAATTCAGGAATCAATATTTTCCATGCTCTTTTGCATAACTGATTATATCCTGTTTAAATTTTGCAGAGTAAGACAGCCGCTTACTGGTACCGGTATTTACCAGTATTTTTTGTTTGTTTTCTGACATTTTTATGGGCTCCCTGTTGCATCTGGGCACTGGATACACGCTCTCCGCAGCATCAGCTGACGTCAGGTACATAAGGCTCATGATTGGAGGAAACCTGTTAGCTTGTCTCTGCAATCGGAAGTTTCACTCGTGAGGCTAGTTTGCAGAGGTATCGGCAATTTCACAACCGCGGTTCTCCTCGCGGCCCCCCGTGTATAAGACGCCCCTCTATTTTTAGGTAAATATTTTTAAGAAAAAGTATAGTCTTATACACGGAAAAATACAGTATTTTATATTGTGGTGATAAAGGCAAGATGGTACTGATAACAGACTGCAAATAAACAATTTATATGAATAAAGGCAAAGTCTTTAATTATTTCACTTCAATTCCTGAGCAAACAGTTTTATCAGACAGTAATATAATATCAGCAAGACAGATGAATGACATATAATGGTAGATACCACAACTTTAATGTTACAGATATTTGTTTGGTCATAACTACCCTATAATCAATAGCTTCTCAGTTTCATCAAAAAAATTCTCAATCATTAAAACTGATTTAAAGCAGATAAAAACACTATTAATCCAGCAATGTATTTGTTAAAAAAAAAATCATAAAATGTATTATTCTACATTGAACTAGAGCAAGTTCCTGATTCTGTCTTGATTATAATTTTCTATAATCCCCTGTACAACAGCACAAAGGTGGGAGAGTCTGCACTTTGTGCCAACCAGGGTATTCTTGCTTACAGGGAACATGCTTATAGGAGCAGAGAGCAAAGAGGTATTGCTTCAGTGAAGAAAAATTAGATCACCTTTCTAGCTTTCAGTCCATGACCATCTTCCTTTTAAAATTATTATGTTGAACTTTGTACTGATGTTTGTGGAGCAGGAGAATGATGTTCAGTCTCTGCATTGTTTGAAGCATCCCAATTCATCTTTATTTGTCCCAATCATGGATGAGCTTGTTACATGCTGTTGTCTTTCCATAAAGAGGTCAAACTAAAAAACTAAAGGAGTAGCTATTTTATATTTTCCTTCACTGATAATGTCATACATGATGCTGTCTTCTATCCAGCATGTGTGTTTCAGATCATAAAAATACTTTTTGTGTCAACATTTTAAAAAGCAATTCTTAGCAAGTTTTTGGGGAGTTTTCCCCAAAATTAGGATTTTCTCAAAGAAAGGTGAGCAGAGGCGCATGGAGTGCAAGAAAGAGTTTTGGATATTTTCTGATAAATCATTTTATTTAACAAACAAGGAGTTCAGGTACACCGTCAACGCATTTCGTGGTACTGTACGGCCACTTCTTCAGGAAGGTGTATGACTGGGCTTACAACAAAGTAAGCTGTGTAATTCTTAGCAATAGGTGAGCAAAGTAAGCTGTGTAATTCTTAGCAATAGGTGAGCTACTAATATTAGCAAATCAAAGCTGCTTAAATAAGAAAGTTCACTCTTGTTACTTTAATTCAAGTTGCCTGCAATTCCCTAAATTCACATTTCAGAAAGCACCTCACAGGGTCAGTAGGAGGACAGGAAGAAGTTACTTCCAGGAACTTATGCATGTGACTTCCACTCTATTTGCATATCATATCACATTTAAACTTCTAAGGCAGGTTTGAATCTGATTTGTGGGTAAGAGAATTTGGTACATTATTAGTGCTGTTTAAAAGGCAAGAAGTAACATGCAGTGAATGTTCTAGCTTTCCAAGCGGTGAGTGTTCTAGCTTTCCAAGCGGTGAGTGTTCTAGCTTTCCAAGCAGTGAGTGTTCTAGCTTCCCAAGCAGGTGAGATCCAGGGTGACCAATTCATTGTCAAAAGAGACTAAGGTGGACTAGTGCAGTAGACATGCGCCTGGATGAACAGCAGGTAGGCAGTGTTCCCTGTATGCAAATCAATGTTTAAATGCCATTTTTGACTAGAATGTACCGTAAAGCAGAACTCCAGGGAAAGATTTTTCTTAACCCTTGATGTGGGGCTACCCCTGTACTGCAAGGGTTACGTGCTCGCTTTTGTCTAGGTTCAAAAAACAAAGTTAGACTCACCTGTTCCTCAGAGCCGGCTTGCTCCATGACTGGTCCTTTCTGCTTGTCTCCTCCATGGTGTCTTCACATCCTATACACTGTGTATAGAACACAATGACTCCTGAGACCTTAGACCACTGCAGCGGATAGGTAGCGAGGCAGAAAGGCCTGGGCTAGGAGCTGTCTCTGAGTATTAGATGAGTAGAACTTTGTTAATTGTGAACCTAGAACAAAATGAGCCGTTAACTTTTGCAGCGTGGGGGTAACCCCAAGGCAAGGGTTTAGAAAATCTTTCTCTGGAGTTCTTCCTTAAATGTAACTGTGCTATCCAAAATGCACATTAAAACATTATTAGGGTTTCACAGCAGTCCAAGTCTATGCATGAGCTCCTACCTATAAAGACTGACAGGACACAAGGCAATATCTAGGTGGCTTATCTTGTAACTGATTGTATCTCAATAGTAATTTAGCAACTATAATGATTGCACTGACGTACCAATAGCAACTTGAGGGAGAATTGACAAATCTCAATATGAAAATAGAAAAGGGCACAGCCTGGCAGTGCAGTCTGCAAATAACACCAGGCATAGATTTTAGTTAAACTTAAAAAATAAGTCAAAATAATTACATGCTGAAAATACATGGTAGCTTATCTTAAATTGCCTCTAATAATAGGTTCCATATCCAATAACATTACAATGTGCACCTCAATGCAGTGTAAATACATATATGCACCCAAAGAACCATAGTGCTAGTAAAGCTGGACCAGCTCAAGGGTAGACTCCAGCCTCGGCCAGCCTGAGCTATTGTTCATAAACAGGTGTGGCAATACTTTTCAACCTGATTTGATTGTTGTTTGACCTTTAACATTAATAGTACTTGAGTGCTAATAACATCTTTATAAATGAACCCTCTCTAATAATGTTCTTGAGCTTGAGACTTTTTAAGAATTATAGTCGTTGATGATTGTGTCTTTTTTTTAAATATGCTCAATATTTAAGATTTTGCAAGCATACAAGGAATCTACCAGCACAGAGATTGCCCAAACATGAAACAACAATAGGTGTTACCTCAACAAGCAGTTTCAGACAACGTGTGCAAAGTTTCAGACAAGAGTTCTCAGTCCTCCCTTCACATCAGAGTCCTATGTTATAACCTCCACCAAGGTGCAGCTGTGGCAGCATGGCAAAGGATGGGAGGTGGAGCAGGTCTAGACAGAGGCTGACTTCTGTCCTCTTCTGAATGCTGGAGGAGGTCCTGGATGCAGCCCATCCTGGATTAATGTCTTGTGTTGCTGTTGTCCAGCTTGTCTACACCAAAAACACTGTGCCGCATTATGGCTGTACTAATGTATCACTAAATAGTTATAAAAATCCAAGGTAGGCTTGAAACTGATTAATAAATGAAGACCTTTTTAGAACTGGCCCCATGATACATGAGGCTTTTTGTAAGCGAGAGATAGTGAGAGAGTTGACTCCACTGCATCCAGGCAGATAAGCAAAAGGGTGCCCATAGCATCATATTCCCAATGAAAGAGTATAAGTGTCTGGTGTGCTACCACCATAACTAGATGAAAATGGTAACCCTGAGAAAGTAGGCTGTTCTTTCTAAAGGTTTACTTTTGAATTTTGTTTACACTGTCACTTTAAGGACTAAACTACAAAACTATTATATGGCTACATGGTACCGACAGAAGCATATATTAACTGCAACCAAAAGTACAAAACTCCAAAACCAAAAAGTAAACCACTATGTAGATACAGCTACATGGTAGTATGAAGTTGTAACAAATATATGTACATAGTTAAAGTGGACCCAGAACAAGACACATTGGGGTTGATTTACTAACCTCACAAACACGCCACAAACACGCCATGCAAAAACACGCCGATTGCGCGCGTGCGTGCGCGTATACGCTTGGCGCGGAAGCGTATGCAGGTTATAAAGATTCTTGATAAATACTACCAACACGCGCGCATGGCGTGTTAAAATGCCGAGGATTCAATAGGGATGTGCAACAACCAACAAACAGCAAAGGGAAGCCCAGTGGCTGAGCGGTTAGAGGACCTGCCACACAACACCTATTTCCCCGGTTCAAATCCTGCATCAAGTGAGTGGATAAAACGCGCCATGCCTGCGTGAAACCGCGCCATGATGTACGTATTCACTTGGTAAATGCATTTCTGCGGGTTAAAACGCGCACGCAGCCTGCGCGTGTGCGTGTTGGGCTTCGTAAATCAGCCCCATTTTGTCATGCTGACTTGCTTATGAAGATTCATTTTCCAGGACTGTCATTCATATCTTTGCTTCACTACATGGTGAGTCTGTGATTTAGAACAAGAATGTGCATGACAGATGCCCTACTGTAAACCTCATATGCATGCACTAATTCCGAGTTACTGACTCACCAAGATAAGGATTACAGCCCTGTACACTGCCTCTTCATAAACAAGTTATCAATATCATTCTTTCTTTCTCTTTCTTGTATTTCATTTGTGAACACAGAATCTGCATCAGCAAGTAGCAACTCTAGATAGCAATATACATATCTGCTATAGTACAAACAAATAATACAATATGTAACTTAAATAGTAGTAACAATCTCTTTCATTTCTTTTCATTGCACATTCCCCCAAAGCCATAATTCAAATATAAATAGATTATAACTATAGGTAGGAAAGTCAATATTATAATAATATTTCAAGTCTGCAGATATCAGGAGAACACATATATCTTCATACTTGACACGCTGCTATCCTTAGCACCTTATTGGCTAACTGCTTTGTAATAACTTGTTTCAGCATTATTCAGCCTAGACTTACTAGAATGTGATATTAATCCGCATATGCAACACATACATATAGTAAATGTTATGTACATAGCCATACGAATGCAGCTCCTTTCTTATTATATACCTTTGCATGTTGCATGTTACCATTATCAATGTAAGGGCTGCAACTGAATGTGCATAGTATATTTACAAACTTGTATACAATTAATAGTCTCAGATAACATCAAAATTAGATTGAATAAATATAAGCCATCACAGCAGAATATAGAAGTTACTTACCGTGCCTAGTTTTTTAAGAAGGTGACAAAAGAAATCATCAAGCTCTTTGCCTTCAATGTATCCATTGTCTAAATACATAGAAAAAAAATGTAATTCAATATTTATGTCAGTTACAATAATGTCCTAAGCTTGTAAATTCAAGAAAAGAATCTATCCAATGCATGCAATAAGTACTATTTTTAGTTATGTATACAATGAACTATTTGGATCCTTCTATTAGATGAAGACAGATGCAGTAATGCATGTAAACCAATCAACAATCATTTGTTATTTCTCTGACTGCTGAAAGTTGAAATACATTTGTCTAATCAGCTTTCTGTAGTTCCACATCAATGTTTCAACTGCCTTATTAAATAAGATCTGTTCTGCATGTCCTTAATGTGAAAAAATAAAATGATAGAACACTGATCTGCTGGGTGAGGCAAGGTCACCAATATTGGGTTATACAAGGTATTTTACACTGTTGATATTTCCGACGATAGGAAGTCTTTGTCAAAGTAAATTACATCCAATCTCCTCGGAAATGGAAAATACTTGCCTTTAGTTGGTAACATAATCTATTTAGTGATAGGGTACTGCCAGCTGCTAAAGGAGTATGAAAGGTGAATTAAAGGTTGTAGAAATGTTGCAAATGTTTTGTCTATGGTTGTTGTTAATAAGCAAATACAGAACATTCAGTGTATACCACTATGTTGTGTATAAGTGCATACATACATTATCTATCTATCTATCTATCTTACACACCCAAGTTTTGCTTTTAAACTACTTGGGGCACTTTAAAGTTCAGCTCTAAAAGCCATGCATAAGGCAAATTAAATTTGCATATTGGCAGCCTTCGCAATGTGTACTGGCAGTGTTTTTATTACCTATAGAATACCTTGTATTGCAAATGAACACTATTAGGACTTACATAGTTGGATTTTTTTCTGTATTTGACTTAAGTTTTAATTACGCTTTAATCACAAGGCTGCGGATTTCTAATTACTTTTGTAATGTGGATGACTGTTTAAAGCTGCTTTTAAGACCCGCTTTACTTTTTTTTTTTGACCCATCCAGTCCCATTAAGATTCATTCATGTTGCAGGCAAAAGTAAGTCAAATGCCCCTGTGCACAAACGCTGAAATGTAGAAGACCGCGTTCATGAACAAAGAATATCTATATGAGCCTTTATACAGATAGGCATCATTTTATAGGCTGCTACACATTATTAGTTTTGTACTTAGACTGATTTTCTGTCTGTGAATAAATAGCCTAAAGTTTAAAAGTTTAAAAAATGTGGATGTGTTTACTTACCATCAGAGTCAAAACGCAGCCAAATCTCCAAGAACTCTGCAGCATCCAGCTTGAGAAAGCCGCTGTCCATGGTGCTAATTGTGATAACAGTGCTGAAGGGGAAAATGCAGAGCAGAGCGCAGACTAGAGCTGAACCTTCCTTTCCACTTCAGCTCTCAGCTTTATTTATGGTGAGCAGCTATCTCCTCCCATGAAGCACTTGTTGCCTGAAAAGGAGGCAGGATCATCTGCAGCACTAATGTATCACATATGCTGTAGTGAAGGCTAAAGTCCAATGAGCGTTATCAGAAGTTCTATTGTTCTGATGGCTGCCTTGCGTCACTGTTATGTTTCACATCACATTGACTGTGACATGCACATAATACATATTATCTAGGCAGATGCATAGACATATTATGCATTCAAGATCTCTGCTATATTATGACTCCTGTGCATAGGCTTACATTGACATGAGCTAAACTACATGCTTTGCTTGTAGTGAAATGTACAGCTAGTCCTAAGCATTATAAAAATGCTTATTTTTTCAGTAAATTAAATTGCATTTAAAGTCAATTCAGTTTTGCCCAGTATAAATATATAAAAACGTTTACAAAACATGTAATACAATGTACAGCTATAAAAGACAGTTTGCAATACATGTACATCAATAAATTGACAAATACATCAATAAACTGAAGTAATATTGAAGTGATATATAGCTCTTTGGTGGCTATACATATATATGCTCAGGTCTAATGTAAATATCAGTCACCTGTCCTATTGCTCAGTACACAGCCTAATGTAAATATCAATCATCTGTTCCTATTGCTCAGTACACAGTCTAATGGAAACATAATTTATTTGTCCCTATTGCCCAGTACATAGTCTAATGTAAATATCAATCATCTGTCCCTATTGCCCAGTAGACAGTCTAATGTAAATATCAATCATCTGTCCTATTGCTCAGTACACAGTATAATGTAAATATCAGTCATCTGTCCCTATTGCCCAGTACACAGTATAATGTAAACATCAGTTATTTGTCCCTATTGCCCAGTACACAGTATAATGTAAATATCCGTTATCTGTCCTATTGCCCAGTACACAGTCTAGTTATTGGTGACAATGTACTTGCAAACTAAGATTCTGGGTCTCTCGAAGAGGAAGTTTACCTTCAGTTTTTTTTTTAACCCCTCTTACCTGTTTGGCAGGGTTGTCCTCAATTCACATACCTACCTGCCTAGAGAATCCAGCATTGTCCTTCTGCAATCCACTGCCACACCCCAGCACCACCATATTGGTACTCCTCAGTCATTGGGACTCGGTTGCCACTTCCGGGTTCAGGCAGATGGCCTCCAGTGAGGCGTATCAGGTCCACCCACCGGGTGTCCCTGTGTGCCTGCTCCTGAAGCCTGCTGGGATATTTGATGGGAATATGCCAGGAGGCTGTAGGAGCAAGACATATAATGCTTGCCTAGACAAGAATGGCAATGGACAGGAAAAAAAAAAAGATTAACAAAAGAATGTGGCCTTTTTATTGTGCAGAGGAGGGGGGGGGGGGGGGGGGTTCGTGGGGTGTTGGGGGGGGGTGTTCAGGAAGGAAAATATATTTAGTGGACTGAAGGTCTGCTTTAAACATAAAGGAGTAACAGAACAGAAGATATTATGATGTATTTCCTGGAAGTCTGGCAAGATGGTTCATATTACATTATGTCTTGTGATGGGTGGCAGGATGGCACTATAAAAGAGGGCATGACATAGTGCAGTTCATAAAGAAATGCAATTGTTAGCAATATGTGAGTGGCATCTTGTTAGTGTCAGCAGAATGGGGATTCTGATGATAGTACCATATGCCAAAGCTAAAAATATATGTGCATGCGATTATTTCTAAAACATCTTAAAGTGTTTAAACCTAGAACCTGTTTAATATGACATGGTTGCTGAAAACATAAGTAAACTGCTGTGTAAATGTTGGGTTTTTGCCCTAATGTGCATACTTACCTTACAAGTGTGCACTTCTCCAGCACTGTCAGATGGATTTTTAGTTTCACACCGCAGACATTCCTGGGTTCCCAGACATCCTCTTTAGCCATTAGGTGGCCACTGATGATGTGACTCCTGTGCATGCAGGTACCTTTAAATGGGCACCTGGCCCATTCATGACATCTTAGAGTTGCCGTGAACGGGCTGAGTGTTTACACTACACAGTGCATGTGCCGTACAGTGTACACAGAACATAATAAAATAGCTGGGGAAGATAGGAACAATTTGTTTGGCAGATGAGACTTTCCATGTCTCTTCTGCCAAAAATCCCTACCTACCAGTGATTTTTTTATGCCCCTAATTTACTTTCACTTTAACCTGCAATTCATTGAAACTATAATGCAAATCTCAGTCTTTTAAAATAACACAACGTCTTCTCTTAGTCTGCAGTCACTCTCACACAAAATGTCCCAGTGTTTTCAAAGTCCACAGGTTGTTACCATGAGCAACAACATTATCTCTGTGTGTGATACCTGACTTTGAATGTCCTATGAGTGTCCAGACTGGATTTCAATGTCAAATAAACTGCTGCATATACAATACACTCCTCACAAGTAGGGATGCACCGATACTGATACTGGTATTGGTGCCGATAATAAGCATTTGGGTGAGTACTCATACTCACCCAAATGCTTCGATACTTACCCTGATACCGAAACTGCCAGTCAGAGGGAGATTTATCAAACCTAAATTTTCAGTAAAAAGTACATTCAAATTACTTTTAGTGCACACAAGCACCATATATTACCAATGTTTTGGCAAAATATATAAGATGAGGTAAAATAGTAAATAGATAACATATATGTCAAGCCTAAAGCATGCCGATGAAATGACAAAAAACTAAAGTACCCCAAATTATTCATAGGCTACGCTTTAAAAGTCTTTACAGGTCATGAATTTAGAGTTAACGGTGAATGACGGCCCTAGAATTATTTCCCTCACTCTGGCGTGGATAACAATACTTAATGTGTCTGACATTATCACCATTTTCATTTGCAAGTGAACCAGAGTGGTTTGTTTGCTTTTGTAAGTGTGGGGGCTTTAATAATTTTTGGGGTGCATTTTTATTTTAGGAGGGCTGATAAGCACATATTCACTGCTCTCACCTACTCTCCATCCTGATATTGACTATGGAGATGGGTGGGGGGGGACTTTAGAATGTTATTTTTTTATTTTTATTTTGGGGGATGATAAGCGCATGTTTACTGGTTTCTCTGCCGTTCTCCATCCTAACACCCACCATGGGGGTCTCAGGCACCCAGGACGGAGAGATATCCCTGGGATAAATTATGTGGGGGGAAGCATCGGCATCAGTAGCATGTGGAAGTTATCACTTCCATTGGGAGTAAAACTGTATATGCAGGCAGCAGCAACATTTGACATACGTCTGTGGCAGCGAAGGGGTTAAAGTGGTGCAGGGTTTAATAAATTAGACACTTTTTTTGTTAAATTAATCATCATATGAAATATAGAAAAACAGATATGTGCACAGTAGAACCCGATAGACTACTATGGAGCCAATGGGAGACTGATCTATCATTATCAACTTTTCCAAGGGATATATTCATGCATGCATGTCTGCATAAGGCCATTAAAAAATACATTGCTGAGGAGTCAGATTGTGCTGGGCTCCGAATGTTTTTGGCCTTGTACTAAGAGGAAGGTCAGTGCTATAGTGGCATGCGTAGACACATGGGTGTATTTGCAGAGAATCTGAACACTATTAATATTAGATTTGTGGGAAGTGGCATAGTCTATGTTCAGCAGAGCAGACTGCCACCTGGACATACAAAGGCATAAGATTTTGTTATTTGCTAGTAATACAAAACCGTAATTCAAATTGAAAGCACATTCAAAAAAGATAATCTGCTTTATTGTTGTGACTGGGAGTTCAATTAAATGACTTTTTTCCTGGTAAAAATAGTCTTCTAAGCAATCCTTCACAGCATGAGGTTATTTCATGTGCTATATGCCACTAAATTACCCTGAGAGTGTAAAATTATACACTTTATAACTTCTGGAAAGCTACTGAATCAATATCCTGTTAGTTATGATAGATCGTATTTTGCTCAGTTTGCTAGTTTTGCATTTTTATTTATTTCCATACTTCACATTTTTTGTTGGGCACTGACATATCTTTGATTTGAACATGAACACGCAGGTATTGAATGATAAAGGAAACTGACCATTTGTTTACATTAGTCTCTAATTTTATACATCTGGTGCAGTTGGCAAGGCATTATCCTAATGCATCCCAAAAGTTATCTCTGTGTAGATTGAGAAAGTGAAGAATCATTGCAATGGTTTTTCTAATTTTGATCATTTTCTAAGGTTACAAATGGAATGGCAAATAAGCTTTTACACAGGGGTCTATTTATAAACAATTGGCAGGGTCATCACCCTGCAGATATGTGTGAACTTTCGCTCTGAGTGAATATATGCCAAAGCAAATGTTGTCTAGTTTTTTTCTGTACAAGTGCAATGCATTTTTGAATGTTTTCATGTAATATCACATTATGGTCATGAGATGGAGCTAAAGGGGCACAGCAAATATTTTTTTTTTCTATGTTACTCAGTGCCACTTCGTGCAAATAATTGTGGTATTGCATGAAAAAAAGTGAAAATACAATGCCTTGTAAAGAAACAATTCAAGAATGTAGTTTTGGCATTTATATGCGCAGAGAAAAAACCTTCTTGGATATTCACAGAGAGAAGGGCCCGCTGGATAGTTTATAAATAGGCCTCATAGTGTTTCTTTTAATATGTATTTCAACACTTTAATGAAGAACTTATTCCATAAACTTTACGTATTATACATGTGCAACAGTGTGCACCATGCACTTTGTTTTAGTAAACAAAGGGCAAGTGACCAGAGAAATTAGGGAAGAAAAGGAAAGGATAAACGATAAGAAAAGGGAAGAAAAAAAGGGGAGAAGAAAGCATAATAAGATATGATGAAGAAGAGGGAGCTAGGAAGAAAATGATATAAGAGAAGATGTCTGCACAGCCAGATAGGAGAGGAAATAAAGATCAGAAAAAAAGGAGAGACAGGGAAGCGTGGGATGCACACATAATACATCTTAATACATCACCGACAGAGCTTACGTATATGAATTGTATTTAATAGCTTTTTAGTCACATGTGAAAATATAGATCAAACATTTCATGATCTACAATTGATGT